GCGCGGGTGGGCGGGCGAGCTACGGGGGCGCCGCCCCGTGCGTGGACGGCGCCGCCGGCGTGTGCATGCCAGCATGTGTGTTTGTGTTTACGCGAGACCTCGCCCCAAGACCCTGTGCTAGGGGCGCCGGCACGGGTGTAAACACGGGGGCGCGTGGGCTGAGTGTGTACACGGATGTCATGGCTGCCTTTGGGTTGTGGCCGGACTGCCCAAGACAGTGTCACTGGTGTCCAGAAGGCGCCATGTGCGCGGCTGGCCTTCGAGAGCCTCGCACCCTAATTAATGACCGGACATCTTGTCCGAGCTGGGGAGACCGTGTGTCTCCACTTCTTCCCCTCCCTGCTTGGGGTATCGTAGGCCTGCGGGGGTGCACTTAGATGTGTACGAGACTCGCTGGGCAGGAGATGGGTTGTTGTTTCCATTCCCAGAGGCTGCCGGCCCCTTCAAGTGTCCTGGAAACCAGGGCCACCCCAGTGGACGCGGTCCCCTTCCCAGGCAGCTGCTGGGGCACCAGGAGCAGGGACCCTGGTTGTCTTCTTGGGGCGGGGATTTCCTGCTGAAGGTAGTAGCTACTGCCCTTTAGATAACCCCATCCTTTGCTCCCCCAGCCCAGGCTGGGCCCCCTGGCCCTGTGTGTCCGCTCTGCCTCTCTGGGCAGGTCTTTCCTTCCTCTGCCCTCAGTACCTGGGGGATATGAGGAGTGGATGGTCAGCTGACTGCCTCACCTCCCAGGCCAACTCCCTGTTCCCCAGCCTCTCCTCTGACACTCCCAAACTATGGGCTGCTGCCTGCCAAGCATCTGAGCAGGTACCTGCAAGGTGGATGCCTGCCTGGCTGGACCGGTCCTGCCCACACACGGGGCAGGAGCTAGGCTCCCAGGCTGCACAGCTGGGTGGTGCTTGGACCTCTGGGTGGGAATGAGTCGGGGGCTCCCTTCCCCACAGGCCCTCCATGTTGGCTTCAGACAGAGCCTGAGGTGATGTTCCTGGGTCACCTCTGTGATTCAGGTGCTAATGGGAGCAGGAGGCTGGGGGGACTAAGTTGACATACTCTTTATGGCCAGTGGGGGTACTGTGGCAGACGGATTCACCATGGAAAAACTCCAAAAGCCTTGGGGGCTGCTCCTTCAGTGGGAGCAGGCTGGGTCCCTGAGGTGCTTAAAGAAGGCCCCCAGCCAGATGCTCTTGACCTCCCTTCTTGGGGACACAGCTTCTGGTCTGGTGTCTCCAGCAGGAAGTTCCCAGAGTGGGCTTTCTGAGTTTAAGAAAATGACAAAGACCCCCAAGGGCAAGCCCTGGAACCCGGGAGGCACTATGGGGTGACCTGTCCCCGATGTGAGGAGCAGAGGGCCGGCCTGACAACTCCGACTCGGGCTGGACCTGGGACCTGGCTGGGTGCCCAGTAGCCCCTTCACACACTTCACGGCTCCCTTGCCAGGCACTTTCGCAAGAGCAACTGTTCTCTCACTTTGCTCTGACACCCCTCGGTGGCAGCCAAAAAGGAAGGGTTCATACGCCAGTGACTCGTAGGGACCCCTCTTGGGGGCTCTCCCTGGAGCCAGCACCACTCTTCCCTGCTCCACGGCCCCCCAATCTGGGCCCGCCCAGGATGACTGGCCAGCCCCTTTCCCTGCTTCCCCTGGCCCAGGAGGGAGTTCAGGGTTGACACCCACCTCTCAGCCTCGCCCAGGCCAGTGAGGGGCTTTGGGCAACACTGCCCCTGCTTCCTAGTTGCTCATGTGACAGATTCCCTTCCTTGGCATGTCTGGCCGGGGCTAGTGCGGGGGTGCGGGGTGGTGGTGGTGGGAATCAGGCTCTATGGGGCACTAATGTGCTGGGGGACACCAGTGGTTATTGACGCCCATCATAAGCCTCCAGGCTCAGTCCAGGAGGCACGTGTTCCCAACATTCCTGCTCTGCTGCCTTGAGAATGTTCCAGAATTTTCCACAGGAGACCTGGGCCCTGGGCAAGTGAGCAAGTGTAAAACCCAGGCAGTAGTCTCTGCTTCTGGGGTGTCCCTGCTGGAGTCTGGAAGTCACCCTGTGGCACAGATGAGGAAACTAATGTGGGGGTGGGGTGGGGGAACCTGAGTCCCCATGTTCCCAGTCTCAGGTGCCCAGAGAATCACCAAGAGAAAACAGGGGATCAGAGGCTAGGGACAGCGGGCTGGCTCTGACTGCCCCAGGAGCCCAGAGGCCATGGAGGGGAGTTAAGGGTCTTCCGAGAACCTCCTTTCCCTGGAGAGGGGGTGGTGGTGAAGGTAGGTTCCAAGCTGAAGGGTCCTGGTAGCCATGGCATTCCAGGATAGGGGAAGAGTCCTCTGGGTGAACATGGCCCTTTCTCCCGCAGACGGCTCTCAGCGCCTTTTTCCAGGAGACCAGCATCCCCTACAGCCACCACCACCACCAGATGGTAAGTGGGCCTGAGCCTGCAGGCAAAGGGTAGCCAGATGGGGCAGGAGTGCAAGGGGCTCCCTCTGGGGAGGGGGGTTGGCGCTGGTACACCAAGGAGTGAGCCTTGGCCAGGTGAGCTTGGTATCTAGGTGAGGTGGCCCTCCCAGAAGAGCAACCTCCCCTTCCCTCCCAGCCCACCCCCTCCCTCACCCCCATCCTCCATTCTCTCCCCACAGATGTGCACTCCCGCCAACACCCCTGCCACGCCCCCCAACTTCCCCGACGCCCTCACCATGTTCTCACGTCTCAAGGCCTCAGAGAGCTTCCACGGTGGGGGTAGCGGCAGCCCCATGGCCACGGGGGCCACGTCGCCCCCGCCACACTTCCCCCACACCGCAGCAGCTGGAAACGGGGTACCCAGCTGGCCAACGGCAGCCTCGCCCCCAGGGGGCCCCCAGCCTCAGCAACCACCCTTGTGGACTCAGACTCCCCCGTCCCCAGCTTCAGACTGGCCACCCCTGGCCCCCCAGCAGGCTGCCTCGGAACCCAGGGCCCACCCTGCCATGGAGGCAGAGAGATAAGGGAGGCCCCTCCCCCTCCCAGAGGCCCAGCCCCCTGGGGGGGGAGAGGATGTCTCTGCAGGTCCCCTTCATCATCCCTGTACCCGTCATCCCTGGAGCCCTGGACAGGAGAGGCTGGCCCAGCACACTGCCCCCGGGCCCCCAGGCAGCCCTGCGAAGCCATCGGGTGTCTGAAGAACTCTGAGCCAGCAGCCTTCCTGCTGGGACTCCCTGCCCTGCCCCGGCAGTGAGAGCAGCCTGGGGCCCCCGGAACTCAGCTCACTAGCTCTGGACTACAGAGCCAGGCGGCATGTGCAAGTGTGGCTGTGTCTCTATTTATACGTCTAGCGCTTTTCCAGAAGCACCCTGCTCATGGGCCACCGGACTGCATGCTCGAGTGCGCCCCGCCTGCTGCCCTTCCCCAGGCTCCCGGCACTGCTGTTCCTTGCAGAGGAGGGCTGTGGGAACCTCCAGGACTCTCCCACCTACCCCTAGGCTCTTGCCTGCTGGGGCTGCTTGCATGCCTCCCCAGAGCCCAGGGGCCCCCAGTCCCTCCCCCTTTCCCTTTTTAACAAAGGAGAAGAGAGAATTGCAAACCACCCTCGCTCAGGTCTGTGGTCTTGCCATGCCGCCTGGCACCGCTGCCCCTGGTCCTCTGCACTGGTCCTGCCCTCTGAGTCCACAGCTTGGCCCAGACTCATCTTCCCCCCAGGGCTCTTCCCATAGAGCTGGTTGCTGGCACATGTGCCCAGATCCTTCCATCTGCCTGGTCAGCCTGTGGACACAGCCCAGCCCTGGCTACCAGCACCCAAGTGTCAAATAAGGACCATCCTTGTTTTCAGGCCCTGGGGGTATTGCTGTGGGTCTCCCCCCCCAGCCCAGCTTCTGCAGATGTGGCCAGAGGGGCAGTAGGGACCAGTTGGAGGTGCAGAATCTAGCTCGAGACCTACAACCCAGAGGACAGTAGAATTCAAGGCCCAGGCTGCTCCTGTGGGTGAACCTGGGCTCAGCCCCTCCCTACCCATGTTTGGGGGGCAGCCAGGGGCCACCCTACCCTGACTCACTTTTCCCGAGAGTCTGGGCTCGCCAGGGACTCAGGCTGCAGTTTGTCCCTCCGTCACTAGGAGGTCCTCTTGGTGCTCGATCTTGGCAGCCTTGTCCCCAGCCCCGTCCCTGCTCACATGAGACCTGGGCAGTCTGGGAAACCTACTGAAGCTGTTGTCCTCCAGCTGGTGCTGGTGTCCCAGGACCCACACTGACTTTGAACCTGCTTCTGTGACAACCTTGCATCCCAGTCACCCTTCTAGGGGGTGGCGGGGTGTGTGTGTGTGCAAGAACAAGAAAGGAGGGGCAGACTTCTTGGCCACCCTTTTGTTAACCACCTCGTGTTTTTGAGTGGAAGAGATTCCCTGGGAACATTGCATGGGGGTGGGGTCAGGGGGAATTCGTGTCTGGCTGTCCTGGCTCTCCCTGAGAATGGTGGCAGTAAGGAACCTGCAGCCATTGCAGGGGTCAAAGCTCTGAGGCCCCACCTAGAGCAGAGCTACTGAGTCAGGACCACCTCCTAGCATGGTGCCCCAGGGTATGGATGGTTTAAGGGTTGAGACACCCCACATCCCATCTGAGAGCTGCCCCCTCCCTGGTGCTAGTTCTGGGGTCAGTGGGATCAGGAGGGTTGGTGGGGGGTTTACATGAAGGCTGGGAACCTCAGGTCCCCCAGCTTGGGCACTGCACACTTGGCTCTAGCTCATTTTTGGTGGGGCTTTGTGTACATGGCGGGGTGTTGAGCTGTGTCCTTAGCTGCTGGCCCAGGGCAGTGGTGCTGGTTGTGAGCATACCACACTTGCTGTACAAGTTTAGAGGGTGAGCTTTATAGCATGTGACACCACAATAAAGCTTGTGAAAAACATTGCCACAGGGTTGGGGGCCAGGCAACCGTGCCAGGTGAAGACACGGGCCACCTGGCTGCCATCGCAGCACACCTGGGGCTGGAGAAGAACTGCCCTGGACTGGGGGAGACAGGTGGACCTGGGGGTCCCCTCAAGTGTGACCTCAGAGCTTGGAGCCACCCCCCACTCCAAGCCTGGAAACTCAGTGACCCCCCTCGGAAACATTCAGGGCCAACCAGTGGAATCCCACTCTGCAGGCCACCTTGCCTGTCCACACCAAGACACTGGGGAACTGTTTGGTGGGCGGCAAGACCACCAATACTGCTTCAAGTTCAGCCCCAACACCGGGGTCCCCTTTAGTGGCACTGCTTACCCCTAACTTGGATAGCTCAACCACCACCATATGCTTATGACCTTTGTCAATTGTTGACCAACGTTTAAAAATTGGGAGCCGTTAGATGTAACTCCCAATTCTGGTGGGTCTTGGAGAACAGCAAAATCCAGCCCAGGTACCTTCAGTTCAGCACTGGCCCATGCTGACCGTCATGCCTGCAGATAGTGTGCGTGCAGCCCCTGCCTGGGATTCAACCCCTCAACGAACCCTGCCCTACCTCACCCCTCCACACACACATACTCAGTGCCTGTCTGCTGCCTTTAGCGGTGGTGGTGGTGGGGTTCTCCCTGGACAGCTGTAGAAAGAGCGGGCTTGTCCCAGCACGACCTCGGTGACCACCAGGGCTGAGAGCCCACTGTGTCTGGCCAGCCCTAGGGACCCAGGCTGTGTGGTAGTGGCCTTGGAGAAGCTTCACATGCAGTCAGCCCCCATCACTGGGGACAAAGGGTGCCTTTGATTCCACTCTGCCCCGGTGTCCAGCCTGCAGTCTTAGAGGCTTGCTGGTTTCCAGTTGTGCATTTTCAGAGGCCCCTGGGCTTTCAAGCAACAACTGGGAGAGGACCCTGGGTGGCACCACAGTTAAGCGCTCTGCGGTGGTCTGGACGGTCAGAGGGCTTGAGGCCACCCCTAGGCAATGCAGGAGAAAGACTAAAAGGGGCTTGTGAAGCTGTGCTGGCCCAGGGTGATCCCTACACAGCATCACCTGTGGTGGGACCCCCTGTGGGAAGCACTTCTCCTTCAGGGCCTAGAAGTCCACCTCCCAGGTGGGAGTCCTGCGTCTTGGGACTCCGCTGAATCCCAGGCCAGGAGGACACGGCCCATGCGCTTCCAGTCCCCAACTCCCACTCCAGAGACCTCATCCCTGATCCCTAATTCCCCAGTGCTGGGGGCCAGGAGGAAGTGCGTCCCATACCCCAGGTTCAGGGTCTACCTATACCCCCTTACACTAAGGTAACCAGACGTCCCACTTTTGGTGGGACAGTCTTGATTTTTAACCATTTTTCCCGCGTCCTGCGGAGTTTTAAAAAAGTCCTGATTTTTGGAAAGAAAGCACGACAAGCTAGGGTATACGGTTTTCAGCTGCCATGTGGCAATTGCACCAGGATATGATTTTTATCAATGGTGTCCCGCTTTACCAATGTTAAAATCTGGTCACCTTACCTTACACACACAAACAAACTGCTCCTGTCTAACCAAGCACTGTGGCAAAGTTCCTACCGGCTACCTGTCCCCAGGAGTGTCCATGTGCCCGTGTCACCCACTGGGGCCTCCCCACATTTGCAGGGACCAAAGAGCTGAGCCGGGTCTTGGGGGCGCAAGAGTAGCCTTGAGTGCCGTGGCTGTGGTCATGTGTCAAGGACACAGGTTCCTTCAGACCCCACCTCCCAGGATATGGAGTTGAGCCAAGATTCCCCTCCTGCAGTGGGCGGGTTGACAGGACTCCTGGGGCCCAGGCCCAGTGCCCAGCAGAATGGAGCTAGGCTGTGTGAGCCGGGCCCCTGCCTAGACGCAGGCAGTTCCAGTGGGGGTAGAAGGCTCTGAGAGGACCTGGGAAGGAGACAGGAGGGCCCAGTAGGTCCCCACTCCCATGTGGGTAGATAGGCCCCCCACAGAGAGGCACCAGCTCAACACACCCCCTGTCCATAATCATCAGATTTTATTTGGGCGGAAGTAATGAAAACACTCTTCTGTGTTATGGGAGGAGGGGCTGGCCATGGCCCCCAGGGTGACTTGGACAGGGGGGCACTGGGTAGGGTAGCCAGCGTGGCCTCATTTAGCCACAGTTCTCAGAGAACAGTCCGGATCGGGGACTAGGGAGGGCAAGGAGGCCCTGGGAATAGGCAGACGGCCCTCCATATCCCACCCTGTTGAGTCCAAAACCCCCAGGCCTCTCCCAGGGTGGGCTGAAGGAGTGTAAATGGGGGGCCTCAATCTCACTGCCCTGAACCTAAACCCATCCATGAGCATGGGGTCTGGGGGTGTGCCCCAGAGCAGAGCTTCTCAGTGAAAGGATGACTGTGGTGCCATCAGAGGTGAAGGGCCAGTCAGAGGGAGGTGGGAGGGTGCCAGTTAGGGAACCCCGTGGCTTGGATCCCAGAGTTGGGTCACCCAAATGGGGCATTTTGCCCCCAAGTATACGAAAGCAGGTGGCCCAGCATGGTCCTGGGTCAGCCAGGATGTGAGTGCGCATGACTTTGTGGAGACCAGGTCTCACAGGGGCACCTGGGGAAGCAACCCCCACAAGAGAAAACAACTCTGCGGCATCACAGTCTGTTGTCCCCTCCCCACCACCCCGCCAGTGGGGGTGGGCCGACCACTAAGATGCTGCCGCGTGCGGAAGAAAAAAGAATGTCGTCTTAAAAAACAACTTAAACCACTGCTCTGTATTGAGAACCGGCCCTGGGAGGCCTTGGTTTCATGGGGAGTTCGCTCCAGAGAGAAGTGGCATTTATACTCATACAAGTGGGATTAGAACGGCCCCTGGAACAAGAGGGGGGCCTCTTTGCTTACAGAGACCACCCCCCTTTGTCCAAAGGCCCTTTCTTGGCCAGGCTTAGGGCCCTGGGGACCCTGGTGGCTCTGGGGGTGGTAGGGCTCACGGGCCAGCAGGTCCTTCCTTGGACTGGATGTTGCCTCGGACCTCAAAGCGGAGGCTTTTCCAGTGCCTGGCGGACCCCGGAGCCTGCTGGGGCTCCCGCAGTGTGGGGATCAGCCGGGGCAACAGCGGCATCAGCGGCAGGGATGGTGGCCGGGGCGGCAGGGACGGTGGCCGGGGCGACACGGTCAGATGAGAGCTCAAGGTGGGTATGCCTGTGCTCAGTGGTGGGAACAGAGCTTGATTGGGGAGGGGGTGGGGCATCGAAGACACTCCATGAATCTGCGAGCACTCCATCTGGAGACCCCGCTTTCAAAGCCCCTAACCCCTATGCCCAAAACCCACGACCTCGAAGTGCAAAGTCGAGGGGAGCAGGGCACCCAGGAAGGACTCAGAGTCTCAGCAGTGGCCACCCTGGAACTATGCGCCTCAGCCCCTGCACAGAGGCGGACCCCAGAGGCAAGGTGCCTGTAAGCTGCCCTCTGCCCTCCAGGGGCCTGTTACCACGGCAGTCTGACACAGGGGGCCAGTGGGTTCCCTTCTCCCACCCCTGCAGCCTCTGCACCCCAGAAAGGACAGTTCTGGGGCTCCTGTTCCCAGGTCCTGATGGGGTGGGCTGAGCAGCTAAGAGACAGAAGAGGTGGGGTGGAGATGGGGCTAAGCTTGAGGGAGCCAGAAATCTGAGTGATAGGTACTCACAGGGGTAGATGGCACCAAATAGGGCACCGTTCTGCACACGGTCACCCAGGTTCCGAGATGGGGGACGTGGACCCTTCGCAACTTAGGGGAAGAGCAAAGGGAGAGATAGGGGCCAGGGGTTGCCTCCCTCTGGGAGAGGCTAGGCCACCATGGGACCCCTCCTCTCCTTCATGTCTGAACCCCAGCTAAGAATCACCATGACTGACCAAAGGCCCCTGCTGAGACCTGAATGGACAAAGATGGATCAAGGGTCAGAGGGCCCCTAGGATAAAGAGCAGGAGACCCCATGGGTGAGGGGCCTGGCCTGGCACTCAGGTATGAGCTATGGTTGGGCTGACCTAGCTGTCTCCTGAGTATTCCCATCCCTTCTTGGAGGGTGCTCCCTGGGCCACCCAGCCATAAAGGAGTTCTCCCCAACATACTGACTGGCCTATATCTTCTGGGCCCTAAGGAGGAGACTTCCCGGGCACCCCAAGGGGCAAATCAGCCCAGACCCCAAAGTGGGTGTTGTCCTGGCCCTCCACACAGCCCAGTTCTCACTCTAGGAAGGCCTCCACTGTGGAAGCCACCAGTAAGGCAGGGCCCCACTGGGCACCTGAGGGGCAGCCATGGCGCCAGCCTCAGCATCGCTCCCAAGCTGTCCGCTGGCCTGAGGGTCACTCTGCTCTCCCCTTCCAGGTGATCCCTGTCCCCTCCCCTTCTTAGCTTGGCTAGCCCCCGCCCCTGCCCCCAAGCCTCCTGCCCCCCTAATACAGCCTCAGGGTGGACTTTGAGAGGCTCCCTGTGGCTTGAATTGGTCCCATGTGTGTATGTGTGGTTGGGGGGTGGGGGGTATCCTTGTCCCCAGCTCAGGTCCCCAGTTGTCCGAGCAGGACCTGCCAACCAGCTGACTTGAAAGAAAGAAAGATGCTACCACTCATACACCCAAAGCCATTCCCATGGAAATGACTCCACTCACAGCACCCCCACCCCCCAGACAGGGTTGACCTGCCCCAGAGGTTGACCTGACCCGGCCATCCTCATCGCTATGGAAGTAGATGGCCCCAGATTACTCCTCAGGAGCCGCTGCTAAGTTGGAAGCACCGACCTTTCCGTTAGCAGGGGAGTGCTCTACCCCTGTGCCACCAGGGCTCCTTGTATCACCTGAGCCCTGGGACTAAATTCATGTCCCCGATGGAACCATGCTGCTTTCCAAGCCAGGGACCTGGGCCAAGGGTCCAGTCTCTGGACCCAGCCAGGGCTTGCCCTTGCCTGCCCACCCCACACTCACATACCCTTAGACTCAGCCTGCTCTCCCTGCTCCTCCCGAGGGAGCCTGCCTTTGAACTGCCGGCCCCTCTGCCCACAGTCAGGCGGCTGCCTAGGGAAGGAGCCCAGAGGCAGGTCAGGGAGCATGAGCCAGCCTGGTCCCCATCTGAGACCAGTCGGCCCACATGGCCTGAAGGCCCCTGGGAAAGCCTGGCACCTGGCTGTGCCTCGCAAGGAGGATGGCGAGGCTCCATGTCATCTACCTTGGGGACATGTTATCAGAAGAGACCAGTTGAAAAGCTCATCTTTCTCCCTTGGAGCGGCTGGTGGTTTTGAACTGCACATCTCAGGGTTAGCAGCCCAATGCATAACCACTGCCCCAGCAGGGCTCCTCGGAGTAAAGGAGCAACCCATCAAGTCATCTGCCTCACTCTGCAGAACTACTCTATAGGGTTTCCAAGACAGTCAACCTTGATGGGAGTAGACTCCAGCGGAGCGGCTGGCGGGTTTGAACTGCTGACCTTGCAGTATGCAACCCAAAGCCTATCCTACTGTGCCATCAGGGTGCCTGGGTAAAAGAAAGAGCCCCTTTCTAAGAGGGAAGGACCCTGTGGCAATGAGCAGAGGCTCAAACATGACTTCGATGTCTGCCCAGCTCCAGGACAAGTGATGGGTGGGGACGAATGACACGTCGGGGTGGTGCTGGCCCTCTGGTCTCCCGGGGCCACCTGAGGGCCAGTGTACAGCAGCAGTTTGGAGCAAAACACAGAGAACTCCTCTTCCCAGAGAGGAGAAAACCTATGAAGGGTTAGTGGGTTTCTTTTTTCCATCCCTCCGCCCAGTGAGGGAAGCTCAGTCCTGGGGCCCCTGGGAGGATCCAGCTGGATCTGCTCTCCAATCGCAGAGTGAATTCCAGATGTTCAGGTAGTTGGGATCCCTCCCTCCTTCCCCACCGGCCTACCTCTGCCCATGCTATTGGTCACAGGAGTAGCCGGCAAACTTCCAAGGCCTGGTCTGTCCGTGTCTCCTCCCCTCCACACCCCAATCCCCCGGACTCCAGCCAACTCCACAGTCCTGAGGCTTTGTACAGCTCTGAGATGGATGGCTTCCTTCCCACAGGACCTGTGCACTGCTCAGCCCCCGCCCCCCGCGGCTCTCCCCCAGCTATCTCCTACTCCTGGGATAGCCCAACTGGACATCCCTTATCATGGGCCCTTTGCCCCAGGGCTCTCCCTCAGGTCAGCAGTGATTTCCATCGCATGGAAATCCCTGATTGGTGTGGGGGGAGACGGCCCGTCTGCTCTGCTCCCCACAGCCTCTGAGAGCCTGGAGCAGGCCCACAGGCAGGCACAGAAGGGGTCTGGGTCCTGTCAACTGCACCCTGCACCTGGCATCCCGAACCACCCAGACACAGGCCCCCAGCAAGGTACCCGAGGTCGCACTCTCACCTGCATGCTCCTTGAGGGCGGGCTGAACTTCACTGGTGGTGTGCATCCGGCCCTTGTACAGAATCCCGTCCACTCCCAGGATGTCCACCTCCGCCTGTGGACATTCCACGTTCCTCTCTGGGCCATGGCGCCAGAGGATGGATCCCCGAGCCTCTGAGTCACTAACCCCCTTCCCCTCCACCCTTAGTCCACCCCCCAACAGGTCCCCGCCAACTCACGGTGTCGTAGTCCAGCAGCTGGGGATCCCCATAGGGGTAGATTGTTGACAGACAGGCATTCCTGGGCCCGTCTCCCCACTCCTGCTGGGAGCCCAGGGAGTCCACAGGGCCCCTGGAGTGGGCCAGGTCCTGCACATGCTGCAGGTACTGCTGTTCCCTGGACAGGGCAGCGGTCAGAGGGCTGGGGAACCACTCCTGGGAGCTTCGGGCAGCCCAGGGGGTCAGTGAGGGCTCAGATGATCAGAGGTGGGGCGGAGGATGGAAATTGGGACATGCACCTGGCCTCCAGGCCCCAGCTGTCACCTGGAGCCCAGTTGTGACCCCACGTCCCCAGAGGGGCCAGGTAGGCAGTCAGGGGCACCATTCTCAGGACACCCGCTTCATGTGGCTATGATTCTGTTAAGTCAACATTCCCCGACCTGGCTCATCACTCAGGGGTCCTGGATCCTGGAATATCAAGAGGCTGGAGAGTGGAGCTGGATCAAGATTTGGGGCTAGACCCCCCCACTAGGAGCCAGCGAGAAGTGCTGAAAATGCACAAATCGAGAGGCCAAGCCCGGCACCTACTAGCTGTGAGCTTCGGCAGGCCACTGACTTGCTCTGAGCCTCAGTTTCTTCAGCTGTGAGATGGAATCCTAATAGAAGCTACCTTCTCGGTGGGCCCACACTAAGGCCAGGCTGTAGGGACCCCCTCCCAGCCCACACAGCACTGACTCCGAGCTCGGAGTGGGGCTGGGATCATAACATCAACTGCCTTCAGTCAACATCTCTTGATGCATCTAGACCTCATGAGGCCAGAATAGAACTGCGCTTTGTGGAGTTTCCAAGGCGGTAGCCTTTCGGAAACAGAGTGCTCTGCCAGGCCTGTCTACTGAGGTATCTCTAGGTGAATTGGAACCACCAAGCTTTGGGTAAGTAGTGGAGCATTTAATCATTGGTTCCACCCAGGGGTAACAAAACACCTGTGAACCAAAGTCCCACCACTGCCGCCGAGTCAGTTCCGACTCATGACCCTGGAGGGCAGGGTAGATTGGCCCCTGTGGGTTTCCAAGGTTGTCGATCTTCACAGCCTCAGTTTTTGCCTGAGGAGTACCTGGTGGCTTCGAACTGCCGGCCTTTTGTTTAGCAACTGGGCTTTTTGTTTAGCAACTGAGCGCTTAAACACTGTGCTCCATCCAGGGCTCCGTGACAGCACCTGTCGGCGCCTAGTCCCCAGACCTGTCTGTCCTCCACAGTTGTCTCCTCTGTCTGTCTGCCACCTCATGGAATGACTACATGCTCCTGCAGATGACTGTCCACGTCCTGGGACAATCTTTGGATACCCCCCTCCCCCCCGCACACACACCCAAGGGACCTGGGGAGAAGCCCCCACCTGCAGCCCGCTCACCTCATCTGCTCCCGCTGCAGGTACTCGTAGCTGTTGGCACTGGCAGGCCGCAGCTGAGACAGCAGGTGGCCTCTGCGGATGGTGATGAGGTGTCTGTTGGGGAGCAAGAAGAAAGCAGAAGCAAAATATGGGACACGAGGGTGGCCGGCAGAGAACACGAGTGTCCACCTCCTTCAGGAAGCCTTCCTGGTGGAGAGGGATGGTGTACACCCTGGGCATGACACTCCCATGCACCCAAACTCTGCTTTCTCTCCAGAACTGTTGTCCTTATGCTTGAGCCTCTTACTGCAGCTACCGTGTCCATCCATCTTGTCAAAGGCCTTCCCTTTTTTGGCTGCCCCTCCACTTTGCCAAGCTCGATGTCCTTTTCCAGGGACCGGTCTCTCCTGATGACAGGTCCAAAGTGGGTGGAACGAAGGCTTATCATCTGTGCCTCTACGGAGCATTCTGGCTGCATTTCTTCCAAGGCAGCATTGTTGGTTCTCTTGGCACTCCATGGTGGCAATTTTCAACATTTTCCAGCAGCACCAACATTCAAATGCATTGATTCCCAAACCAGGGTATATTCAATACCTGACATGCATCTGAAAGTTGGGCATTGAATAATGAAGACCAAAGAAGAATCCATGCATCTGTGCTGGCAGGGCTCCTTTCGGTGCTTCTGAGGCAGTCAGTTTGTTGTACTTCCTTTTAGCAAGCCCAAGAAAGGGATGCAAAAGTAAAACGCCAGCGCAGGTAAATCGTGAGAGTCAGCGGACTCATGGTTGCCAGCATAAGGTTGCTCAATCAGAACCAACTCAGTGGCAGTGAGTTTGGTGAGAGATGCTGCATGGGTACAGAGTAATGGAAATATTTCAAAATTAGAGAGGGGCATGGCAACCCAGCATTGTGAACGTGCTGTACAGTACTGACTTGTTGACTTCAGAAAGAGCTCTGGTAGTGTAGTGGTTGCATGTTGGGCTGCTAACCGTAAGGTCTGCATTTCGAAACCACCAGCCGCTCCTCGGGAGAAAGACAAGGCACTCCGTAAAGAGTTACAGTCTCAGAAACTCACAGGGGGCAGTTCTACCCTGACCTATAAGGTCACTGTGAGTTGGCATCCACACGATGGCAGTGAGGTGAGGTGTTCACTTTCCAATGTCTGCTTAGATGGCATGCACATTTATCTCTCAACTGAAAAAAATCAGTCTGCTGGGGAGTGGAAGTGGCTGAATGGCGGAGACACGGTTGCACACACGTGTAAAAATCTTCGGACCACATAAGGGACCTATGCCTACGCTACCACATGTGTGAAAACACAAACGTTTGAAGCTTCACAACAAACTAAATGCCCACCAGTGGGGAAATGCATAAATGTGTGCCCACAGTGGAATGTTACACATCGCTCCAGAATCTCGAGGAGCCTGTGAAACACCTCGTGACCAGGATGGATTTGGAGGACACTGTGTTGAGTGAAGTTAGTCAGTCACAAAAGGACACTGAGGCCACTGCCATAGAAGAAGAGATTCAAGATAAAGATTTTTTTAAAAAAATAAAAATAAAAAATATTTTTTATACTCAAAGAAACAGAATTTGATGGTCACCAGGAGTGGGAGGGGGAGGAAGGGAGGGGGAAGCAATAGGCTCGAGGGTTGCTGGGTGTTTAGCTTGGATGAAAGCGAAGTTAATCTGTCCTGAGAGAGAGAGAGAAGAAAAAAGGGGGTGGGGGCGACAGGGCAAGCTTTGGAGAGGGTTGATAAGGTTAAATTGTTGAATACAAACGTGATGATCTGAAATGTAACTCACTCCCTGCCATGAGCCCATTCTGGCTCACAGCCACCCTACAGGACAGGGCAGAACTGGCCCTGTGGGTTTAACCCCAGACCATCATTTTTTCTGGGAATAGGAAACCTCATCTGTCTCGCTCTCGCTGAAATGTAAACAGCCACCGCATTCACAGTGCATTGAAAATTAAAGCCATTTGTATCAATGGTCGAAAATTTTGAAAACATCGAAAAGCACAAAGCTGCTTTGGGGCTTTTGACGGTTATAAATAATGCTGCGACTGGACACCTGTGGGTTGAGGGGGAAATTCTGGGTGTCACACCAACCTCCCCCTTCCTCCCATGCACATGAAGTGGCATGGGGTCACAGTGACAAATTCTGTGGGACTTTTGGTCCTCCAAACCCATGTAAGGTATAATGCTGAACGCAACTCAACCCCCCCTCCCCCCACCACCACCACCATGACCACCACCCTTTTTCCTCAGGAGCGAGTCCCAAAGAGGGATGGTGAAGAAAGGTTTGGATGGAGGGGGATGGTGAAGAAAGGGTTGAAGATCCCCACCGTGCTGCCCATCCAGGGAGTCCCGCAGGGCGCCCCCTGGCCGGCAGACCCTCAAAGCCCGCGTGGACGGGCGCGCAGGTGGCCCGCGGGCGCCCCCTGGCGGGCAGATCCGCAAAGGCCGCGCGGAGGTGGCCCTCGGGCGCCCCCTGGCGGGAGCGGTGCTTATACTCACGGGCCGGTCGTCATCTCCACCGGGCGGTCGCAGGAGATGCATTTCACACGTTCAAACAGCTTCCTGGAAGAGGGGCGCTGCGTCAGATGGGGTTCCCAGGTCGTGGGGGCCCCGGCCTAGCAGTGCTGGGGGATGGGAGACCTGAGGGTCTGTCTGTACCCAGCGACCCTGGCTCAGCAGCTCATCCCTGAGGGTCGGCCGAGTCTCCGGGACCCACCCCGGGAACCCAAGTAGTGCTCATCCATCCCCGCCCCAGACGCAAGACGGAAGACACTTTGAAACAGGACCTGCGCAAAGGTACCTTTTGTGGTGGGCGTGTGGGGGCAGATGGGAGGTGATA